CACGAGTGGATACTGTGGTCAGTTGATGAACGATCGAGGAGATGGGGTAGTTGTAGGATTTGGGGAGAAGTGGATCTAAAGCTAATTTACATTTCTCGTTGATGTGTCAAATCTCCCTCTGTAGTTGACCCACTATTAGGGTGGGAGGCCCTGTTGCCCGGTTGGCAGAGTCATGTCACCTCCCATCCTAAATAAATAGGAGCACACTCAATTAGCTTCCTCGCCTCTTCTCCTTCCCCTAATCTATAAACGCTTAATCCATTTGACAAAACATTAAAGAAACGTCCAATTTGTTGTTAAGTAAGTGGAAATAATTTAATTAAGTGGGTATCCTTAAAATTTTGTTTTAAATCACTAACACCATCAACTTTTTGATCAATATTTAAGTCGTTTAAAAGACAGTTTTTAAACCTTGTCGTTGTTCCCTTTAAAACAAAGGATTGCAGATAATTCAAACTCTGACGAGAGATGGCTGGAACAGATGGAGAGGGACATCTGGTTTTTAAACGGAGTGAAACAGTCCTCATCTGCAATTACTGAACTAGAAGTTGAGCCGTTTAAACATTCCTTCGGGGCGAAATTGTTGCCGCCTTAAGAACACATTAATAATTTGTTAGGGCCTCTACTACCCATCTTTGTTGCCTTGCTTAAATCTACCGGGTGGTGTAAATCAGGCCGTCACACAAATGCATGCATAAATCTCACCAACGTCTCCAATTTCACTGCCAATGGACGTGGAGGTGCCGAGCTAACGAGCTATATTCGGCCACATTCAATCTGGTCCCGCCTGGATGTGATAGCAAATGGACGGCTGAATGGCATATGATTCACTCCTGTCAATAGCCCGCGTCAGTCCCCCTGCGCACGTGCGTGCGCGCACGCACACATGCACCCACGTCCGCACGCATGCACGTCCGCATATGTGCAAGCAGAGACGCGGTGGATTCAAAAGTGCGCCGGCCGACAAACCAATGGGGTGGCTGGATCGGTGGGCAATTATTTTTCCACATAAAAGGCGCATAAAGACGTAGAAATTTATGAGTACGCCTCGAAGACATAAGGTAGGAGAAAAAAAGCAACCCAGAAAGTGCGGATACCCATCTTCGACCATTCGAATCTGATGGATACCAAAGTAAGCGAAGCTACGATATCACTACGACAAGAGACGGGTATCTATCAGAGCGGAGGCTTAATTAGGTTGGACTCAAGTTGTGGGGAAATTTTCACGTCTAGTGATTCAAAACGTCATGTTAACAGAGCAGTAAAAATAAAACAGTGAAAAGAAAGAAGATAGAGAAACTTCTAGATGCATTTTTGAGTGTGTGAGGTGGGTGGAGAAGCTAGATCGCAAATTATACATTCCTTCACTCAGTAGGGCTTCGGGTAAATCCCACTTGACTAAACTATCTGGCACCCAGCAGTCACAAAGGTATTCCACTAGTGATACGAGATGAGGAAAATCATCTTTAACGGATACCTTCAGTGTATAAAATAGATGAAAATTGGACATCTCTTTAGGGCCTCCCATTAATCGGAGGCAAACTGAAAGTTAGGGAGGGTAAAGGGAAGGCAAAGGGTGAATAAAAGTCCCAAACTCCGAGAGGTATATTCATAATCCTCAAGCCTTAAGAATGTAGGCGGTTAAAAGTCTTTTTTTAATGGCAGGCAGCAGGTTATATTGGGGATATATCTTAGGGTCTCCACTGTTTCCTGGAGAGGTAAAGCCAGAGAAGGCTCATTAAATCCTACCATTTAAAAACGAAAATGACGATTGCTTGGAGTTATTGACATGACATAAGTTCAAAAGTTGGGAAATGTGCAGACTTATTAAATGGGTGAAAGAACGAGGAGACGAGACGTAGCTAATAGTTTGGACTTAAATTCACACTTCAAAAAAATCACAGATAAAAGTGGAGATACCGATTAAGGCGAAAATAATTTTTCTTGTGGTAAATTACATGCGAAA